TTTATTGGTAGGTTTATGTATGTATAATATTATTTATTGGTAGGTTTATGTATGGCTAGGGACAGACTCCAGTGATGTTGAAAGAAAACTAGGAATAAAGACAGCACAGGTAATCTATTGATAAACACAAACTTGAAATTTTCATAAAAATATGCTCTGAAAGTGATTTCCATGATTCCACCAAATATTATTATTATTACAATTATATTATTATTAGATGAACTTAGTGCAGTTACTATTATTTTTTCGGTGAAAAACAAAGACAGTAAAAAAAGTTGAGTAATTATGGTATTAGTATGTTTATTAATATTGTTTGAATCAAGGTAGATTTGTTAGTTTTGATATTTAAAATTATTTTGTATAACCACAAAAACATTACAATATCATTACAATATCAAATAACTAATAATACCATAATTATCAAGTCATAAACAGAAGACAAGTATCTAACCTGACTACTCTTAGTCATGTTATCACATGATTTACCTCCTTAGAAGCTGACAGAGATTAGACTCAAGGAAAGCAGAAATCTATGCTCAATTTCATTGATATGTCRTTTTTCACAATATATTTTCAGCTGTACATACAACATGTCCATCAGCTACAGAGTGGTCCACTTCGTAAATTACGTGTGGCATTCAAAGGAAGGGAAAGTCACACATTCAAGAGGAATTTCCATGGCTGGGGAGAATTTCAYAAGCCTAAATACTGAAAACGTTTTGTAATTATRTAATAAAGACACAGCTACAACTGRAYAGAATCAGGTTTGGCTGCAKGAAAACAGGACTGAGAGCATTTTGCCTTTATTTTGTCAACGTGCTAAAGAGRCTTGTATCTCTWGTCTTCACAACCTGAGATATGGCACAAAATGTACTGCCTTTTATCGTCATTCCTTGCTCTACTATATGGAAAAAATTGTTGCTTGCAATGGCAATTTTAAACCTTATCTTTCTCAGCTAGATCCACTGCTGGTCCCAAAATGCATGGGCTATAGCCCATCTTCACAACCTGAGATATGGCACAAAATGTACTGCCTTTTATCGTCATTCCTTGCTCTACTATATGGAAAAAATTGTTGCTTGCAATGGCAATTTTAAACCTTATCTTTCTCAGCTAGATCCACTGCTGGTCCTGAACTACTCCATTATGGAGATGAAAAAATAAGGAAACATTTTGATAACAATCATTGTGCACTGAATGGCTTTGCATCCATGGAAAGTTATTCTTTTGCATCAATGTTGACAGCTATTGGTAAAAATACAAGCTTACACTTAACAGTACTCTCTCTATGTAGAACCTGAAARTACAGTCATACATTTGCAAGGGGGATGTCCCCATTGAAATGGTGTTATTATAGGATAAAAATTATATAAAAAAGGTTTAGTCAGACTAGTGATCCATTCTGAAAATTACAGAAATTTGTTGGCTCCTCTACTTGATCTATCCTTTGGTGGTCCAAGGCTGTTGGTGATCAATATAACCCCCAAAAAACAAAGATGCGTCCCGTGGTCCCTGTCTGTACTTCAGTGTTATTTCAAAATTATGCAATGTTTGCTTCATTAAGGACATTCTTTTTTTAAGAGGATGAATGGTGGCGCAATGAAAAAAAATCTAAATATAGCTTGTTATAAATAATTGTAATTTATAGTTGTGTAAAATAAAGAGTAAAAGGAAAAAAGAACTTTGTTGTATTGTCAGGACACATGTACATAGTAATAATGACTACACATTAGCACCTTGGGTTTTACACATTTTTCATTTTATCCACCTAGTTTGTTTCTCTTCAGAGTYGCTGTGAAACGTGTACTGCTGGATTAGATCAATCTACCATGTATGGTTCCTTATGTAAATGATTGATATTATTTTGTGATGTTTATCCCATAAGAATACTGTAAGAACCTATGAAAATTGATTTAAAAATCCAGATTCTTTATGGAGACCCTGTTAGGGGGTTTAACCATGTCACAATGCTGTTATTTTGTCACTGTTGGTAATTCATCAGAGTTGTAGTAGTAGTATAGTAAAACAGATTGACTTTATATTTGGAAATTTTGAAAGATTCTACTGTGAAATTTAAGGCTGAAATGGTTCTAATGTAAAGAGTGTGAGGTTCTTTAATTTTAGGTTTTTATGTATGGGKTTTTTACTGTAAGGCTACTGCTTGCTCCATTGGGAGCCAAGAGGTTGCTGTTGCACATGAGTTGACAGTGCCAGCACACAACAACGATTGGCAATCGTGTGTTGGCACTATGTAACTCACAGGAGCTGTAATGATGCCTTTACTGTACCTGCACTRAAACAAACACAATTCAATTTCAACAGTGATTTATTTTCAAATTGTTCAATATACAAGGCTGYATTCAACAATATTTGTTATAACAAAGTACTAGTGATGATCCTGTACTAATTACATTTGTGTAGACTGYCTTACTGGGCCACTGATATAGAAGCAACGTCATCAATTAATAGACCACAATAGACAACTGCCTACATTGAAGAAAGTTTTTGAAATAAACCATTGAAGAAATTGTTTTTATGATGTTATTAATAGAGACTGTTCTTGGGATTCAGATTAATTCTGTTTTCTCCTGAAAGAGCAGCCTGCAAAGATAAAAAGACATTCACATTAACTTGACTTGAGTACAGTAGTTAAGAATCAATCAGTTTGTTGATAAACAGGCTTTCAAATGTTTGTGATGGTTAATGTTTAACTCAAGCTATACCAGAATGCAATGAGATAATATCTAGCATAATGATGATCTTCATTAAGCTAACAGAAGAATGTATAGAAGTGTGGCCACCGTTAATGTATTCACATACTCTTGTCTTGCTTATTAGCCAATCACCATTCTAGAAACATGCTATCTTGTCTGTGACCAAGATGTTAATTGGATAAATAGCAAGACAGAAGTATGTGAACATGTTAACAAGTATTAGTCTGTAAGTAGATTGTACCTTCTGTCAAACGAGCTCTACCTCCAGTAGGTTGACAAAGCACCATTGAGCAGGAGACACAAAGTACTACGGTTTGTGCATGGCTGAATACAGTGGTGATCTTGTAACATCCTGCAATCAAAACATCAATTATATCAATCATAGCAACAAAGTATTGACTGAGTTCTGTGAGTGATGTCAGTATGTAAGCCCTTGTTATTACAATATGATCACAAAGATCCACTGTCAGTATGTAAGGACTACAACAATGTAGGCATGACTCAAGAGCTTCTCAAAGTAAGAATAAAATAAGAAGCTTTGGATTGTCAGCCATAAAATCATGTGAAACTAACTGATCAATTTGAAGTGGATATTGATTGTGCTGTACAAAGCTGGATCAAGTCTAGATCATTAACACTGAATTAATGCTAACCCAGGATACTCTAATTTATGATCAGAATCTAAGTTCCTTATCCAGACAGTAGAAACCTCACCTGGGCACTTAACATCCATGAAATAGCTGTTGGGACTTTGAACAAGTCTTTTCAATTTGTGACTTCGTTTCTCTTCTTCTGCAGTGGGGTTTAACAGATCTTTGAAAAGCTAAACATTCATAAATAGATAGATAAACATCAACAAGTCTCCTCTTTTGATCAATAGAATTGTAAACAAAGTTCTCAAATACTATATGGAATATATGATAAAGACAGAAGAACTTTCACAAAAAAAAACCTATATTATAAACTCCAAATATCCAAATAGGAATGATGATTGTAGACTAAGAGACRCATGGTTCATGTACCTAACAGTGGCCTTTTCCCAAGATGTTGTTCTGCAGAACCAAAGTGAGGCTTTGGCTAGGTCACAAAATTTTCTGGAGAAAATTGCTCTCTACAAGCAAGAACATTATGCTTTGATAATCATATTTTGTCTGCAAAGTGTTTACTACAAATTCACTTGTTTTCAGTCTATTTCTGTTGAATGCTATTTAGCACTGCATCCACAGTTTTCATAACAATTTATCTTTTGGTATTTTATGAAAAGTTCTCTTATAATAATTCTTGAATAGGTATAACAATTTTCCCTTTGATTTTTGGCTTGCAATTTTCTTTATTCATTGTGAACACGTGGAAATGTTATGACCTAGTCAAAGCCTTGCTTTGGTTCTGSAGAACCAACAGTCTGGAAAAAGGCCGTTCAGCAGAATAAGTGTGACTAAGATAAGAGCAATGCACAGGAAGACCAGAAAAAGTTGCTGACAAAACAAGATTCAAGTTTCTGAAGAGGCTGTGCGTGTAGATTTTTCATTTATCAAAGTACTGTATATATATACTTATAATATTCTAATTATTTAGAAACTAGAAATTTTCGGGGTATTCATGATCGTGATGGTAGAGAGATGAGTTGAATCGAAAGTACCACGTGACACTAGTACAACTTCGGAAATGATTTTGAATTGTTCTCTCAGTATTAAAATACCTACGTTTCAAGAACGTTTTTCATACAGTAAAGCAAAAAAAAAGAGCAATAAATTTGTAGGACRGGTACGGACTTCAACAGAAACAATCATTTTGCAAAAACATGAGCTCCGAACACGTTTCCGAGCTGATTCAAATCAAAAGTTTATCAGAAGCCCAATTTTGAACAGTTATAGATGCGATGTTTGGCCCAATCATATTTATAACACAATCTATAAATACGAAAATACCCTAGTTCAATAACTTGAGAATCAAATCCTGAGCAAACATATGAATCAGAAGGGCTTATTCCACACGAGGGCTAACTTCATCGAACCGTTCGATGCCTGAAATCGTTCCGTACGTCAATGTTTTGCTCAAAATTTTCACTAAAATTAACTTTTTAGTGAAAATTTAATGCATAAGTAAAAACAGCATTTACTAGTCTTTTAATATATGTAGATTCTTCGCTTTATTATGGTATCCACGATGAGAAATTTTATGTTTTTCTTGCCTAACTTACCGGCATGATGCTGGCCGTTTGTCGTCTAAAGACCAAAGAGAGAGAACCAAAGTGCACCGCGAGGCTTTATGCATGGGGCGGCCCGTACTTAAACCAGGGGTCGTCCATATTGCACCACAACACGAAACGAACATCAGCGAAATAGCGGTAGACTATTAATATAAAGTGCCTATAAAATAGTTGACGTCATGTAATTTAACATAAATATAAAGTATTTTGATATTTCAGTTTACGCCACGTAAGAACAGACCATTTATCAGAAAAGTGAAGGGGAACTAATGGGGGTGGCTGCCATCCTCGAATGATTTTTTCTAAATTCTTCATTTGTATACACTTTTTTCTTCAAATTTTTTCTTACATGGATTTGCCTTTTTTGGTCTTTTAATGCGCATGTTCTATTGATTCATTCTTTAGACATTGAGAAGTGGTTGCCAGTATATGACCGTATATATCATTTGTATCTGGATAAAAAACAATTCGAAGAAGGTGATCAGCAAATTTGACTTTGCATCGAGTAAAGATCCCCTTAATCTGAACTGAAATTCGATGGTTAGTATGCACTGAATAATTCGCCACAAAAACAGTATRAGACAAATTTGACAAACTCTAGCTTTAATATTTTCAGTGGAGTTTATGTCGCAGYGTACTCTGGCCGTGTCAACAAGATAAAAAAAGGATTAAAAASTGATGAGCTTGACTTCAAATTCTCTACTTACAGAGCATACAAGGAAGCTCTCCTTTTGTGCTATGCCTTGGTGTTTCTGTTGCACGCTCAGACAGTCGGTACAGCTTTTAAGCGCGCGTAATTTGTGTCATGTTGATTTTCCAGTCAAAAACTATCTGAGTGTAGGGAATGCTGTGTGCGCATTAATCGGCAGATGAAGAGCGTGTTACATAAAAGGAAAATCTGTTCTAAAGTCATTTTTAGTATTATGTCGCCTACGTTCGTCAAAAAGCTTGGAATGTTGAATATATCTTACTTCAAAATCGCAGGAGTTAAAAGTTGAAATATTCCCCTTCCACCCCCGACATTAGGCGTTGCGAGCGTGCAATGGTGCGTGATACATACACGGCGCCTTGGCCACACTCACGCTTCATAAACAAAAATCAATGCGGCTACGGCGCATGACTAAATAAAAATGTGTCCAAAACTCAAGTCCTCAAGTGGTTCACTGCAAACTTTTGAACATTTACAGCGCTATTTAGATACAGAATGTTTCAACAGAAAAACAAGTTTTTGGTGAACGGCAATCAAGGTCATCAAGKTGTATCCATGGCTTTATTCGTATTTGTTTAGTACCATATCTTTAATCAGGAATTAGTGAAAATCTTACTTTCTTTCAATTGAGAAGCTCATTAATTGATAAAAGAGAATGTATGTKAGTCTATGTAAACAGTCGATTTAAGCATAATTATACAATACATTTCGCTATAACTTGCTGTGTGGATTATTATAGCTACCGGTAATCTCTGGTGGCTATTTCTTCAGAACTTTTATGAATTTTTGACCCCTCTTACTATAATCACCGTAAGAGGGGAAAAAATTCATAAAAGTTCTGAAAATCGCCTCCAGAGATTACCGGTAGCTATAATAATCCACACAGCAAGTTATAGCGTACCGGCAATTTATTTTTTTATTTATGCAATAATGGACTGTTTACATAGACTCCATGATTCTCTTATATCAAGTAATGAGCTTGGGCTACCCGTGGTCATAGCTGTTCTCTTATTGACAGATAATCACCATGTCAAGCAGCGCCTAAGAATTCACACAAGTGTGGCAATATATATAATATTTGGGAAGAGTCCTAATTTTAACTCGAAGAGTGCGAAGCAATCAAAGAGTTATTGGAGAGCCGAATCTGTCACTCGCTAAGTCACTCAGTCACTCACTATCCTGTGAAAATTGAGCCCACGTTACTTACGTTCAGAATTATAAATTTATTCTAATTGCTTTGTAGTAATTTACTCTAATTTTTGGATCCCTGTGCTATATTTGATTGAATTTAATTATTTTTTTTTTGGCAAAACAGATTTTAAAAAATTATCACCTCATCTGGGATTTAAGCCCGAGACTGTAACGTAATGCTAATTGCAGATTAACGTCTGGACTTGTATTTGGCAGGTGCACGGCCCTACATTGTCTACTATTATCACACTAAGAGGGGAAAAAATTCATAAAAGTTTTGAAAATCGTCTTCAGAGATGACCGGTAGCTATAATAATGCACACAGCAAGTTATAGCGAAATTTATTGTTTATTTATGCTATAAATCGTCTGTTTACATAGACTCCATGATTCTCTTATATCAAGTAATGAGCTTGGGCTACCCGTGGTGATAGCTGTTCTCTTATTGACASAACTAATCACCATGTCAAGCAGCGCCTAAGAATTCACACAAGTGTGGCAAATAAATATATATTTTGGGTGCTAGTGGGTCATAATTTTTACTGACTCCAAGAGTGCGAAGCAATCGAAGAGTTATTGGATAGGGACGAATCTGTCACTCACCAAGTCACTCAGTCAGTCAGTCACTCACTTTCCTGTAAACTTGAGTCTACATTACTTATGTTCAGAAACAAAAAATCTATTCTAATTGCTTTCTAGTAATTTACTCACCAATTTTCCGTTTTATCAGTTCACTTGTGCTATATTTTATTGAATTTAATTATTTTTTTTTGGCAAAAGAGAATCGGCTAGAGTTGTCTTTTAACTGGCAGGCGCTCGCACCTGCTCAGTGTCTACTAAA